CCAACCTTGTGTTCTTGCATGTAAAATCCACCTTCTTCCATGGACATTGAGGGCAGTTTTGGGAATTCACATGGTTCTGGCTGTCAGTGACACCAACCGTGTCAGGCAGGCGGAGTTGCCTTTTAGATTTTGTGTAAGAGATTTTTAAGTGGAAAAGGTATCAGATACCACAGCTCTGATGTTTTAAATGCTTAGTTAGATCAACCGATCTGTGTTGTGGGGTTTTTTTCTTGTGTTTTTCCCTTGCATGTGTTCAGATGGCGAACTGTGTTGACTAGAGGCCATTTCATTTCTATCTGAACATAACATTGCCATTAGTCACCAACTCAGCTCCTCCCTAAAACTCATTTCCTCAAAACCAGTATGTAGATGTGTACGTAGACAGTATGTAGAATGTGTAAATTTTGTGGCTACACATGCATATCTCCGAGATCCTCTAGTATTAATCATTCAAAATGTTTGAAACACCATAAATGAAGATGATAATTAAATCGTGATTTTCTTCTCCTGCAGTTTATACATGCAAGCTATCAGACCGGGAACATCCCCTTTACCTGCGTTTGGTGGCAGGCCCCAAAACAGAAATGCTTAGTTTTGTTTTACGTGAGCATGAAACTGGAGAAGTCATGGTATGTTAACACTCCTGCTGTTTCTGTGTCTTTGTTTAACATCATGGATGAGGGGACTCCTTCTTGATCTGTACTGACAAGAAGGTCCATTTTTTTAGAAGCAGAATTTTTTGGTTTTTCTCGTTATATTTGCTTTGTGGTTAGACTGACCCACTGTTACTTGCAGAACAAAACACAGTTTAAGACAGAAATATGTTTTCTGATCCCCAAGATTTGGAAGGAGGGTGCCTGATACTGGTCCAGTTTGAAATTGAGTGTCTGTGATTTTGTTTAAAAATACTGTATATATAAACTATTTGTATATTTTCTGTTCAGCTCATCAATCCTTTCCCCTTTTTCTCTTTTTCCAGTGGGAAGCTTTTACTATTCCTGAACTGCAAAACTTCTTGCGTATACTGGACAAAGAGGAAAACGAACAACTGCAAATCTTAAAGAAGCGTTACGCAGCTTACAGGGACAAACTTGAAGAAGCCCTTGGTGGGGTGTGGAAACCTGGTTAAAAGGGGGCCAAAAGACACTCAGGAAAAATGCACGCTACCAAATGTCAATATAGCATGCCAAACCCAACCTATAAAGAGCAGCAGAGAGTAGTTTTCTTTATTGGGAAGACTGTTTTGTGATGCCAGGGTACCTGAATTTTGCTATAGACTTAGTTCCGTAAGCCAGGTCACTTAGCATCTTGCACCCACAAGTAAGGGATTCTGCATGTTTGTACATCAGTTTGCAACCCTTTGTGTGCCTCGAGAGTTTTCCAAGTTATCTTGGTGCAAGCTGTGAAACTGTAATCAATTTTCTAGGATGCTATGAAATAAGATTTTTTTGTTTGTTTCTTCTTTGCTTTAATAGTAGCTTTACAAGTAAGGCTGTGCAAATTGATGGGTTAAAATAAAATTGAATTAAACTGGCTAAGAATTAGTTGGAGCACTATCTTTTGAGATGAAATTGATTTGCACTACCTTTCTGTTCTCAAATAGTTACTGTATAATTTGTGAGAGAACTGTTATAGATGGATGGCATATGAGATCTTGTGGTTTGTTCTGTGAAATTTGTGGAAGGTTTTTAAATGGTCTTTCTGAAGAAGGGAAAGAGAAAGTTGAAAAGAAGGTAAGAGTTGAAAGAGTAGAGCTAACAGCTGGTAGAGGAGGACTGGTTTTAAATGGAAATAGTATTTACACAGAGGAAAGCTAAAATAGTAATTTTACAAGATTAAAGTTTTAGGATGTTATAATATTGTGAATGAATTTTATGTTGTTTTTTTTTAACTGCATAAATCCACACTGGAAAAGAAATAAAGATAATAGAAATAATGGGAAGGAACGAGAGGCAAAAGCAAAATAAGAATGGAAATGGAGCTGCACATACAAGTCATTATTGGAGAAGGTGGTTCCTTAAGTTCATAGTATGGGTTTGAAAAGTGCAGCAAAGCTAAAAAGCTGCTTGCTTGAATTATGAAAAGTGGCCAATATCTCAACTCTGTGAAAAATGCCCATCTAGCAAGTGTTTGGCCATAAGCTGTAACTACAGATGCATTTGGTCTTTACTGTAAGTCAGATATTTCCTCTGGCTCAGTGATCCATTTTTAGACTGGGTAATTTTGCATTATCATATCTGAAAGACAAAAATAGCTTCCTCTGTTTCTTTGTTAAAGGCTCAGTCAGGCAAAGAAAGTAGAATTTCTCATTCAGGTTTCCAGCTTAGCAGAAAATTGACATTTATTGGTTGTGTTGGTGACTGAGCTCCGCAAGTTGCTTTTAGTAATTCAGAAGGTTTTTTTTTCCTTATGGTTTTTAAATTCTTAATTGAAAAAGTGATTACCAAATTCTGCAGACTGCTGATTTACTTGATTTTATAGTAGGAAAGATGTAGCAAGAAATCTTTTCACTTTACTGTAAATATAATTGTTGTTCTTTCAGAGTTATTTATCTAAAAAAGCACGTTCAAAAGAAACCAAAGAAGTGGGTGTGCAATAGAAGCATGAGGCAGATTTGAGTAACTAATACTTCAGACATTATCATGCCAGAGAGGAAATGAGTTATATGGGGGTGGGGGGTGGGGGGAGGTGCTAATGATTTAAGAGCAGCAGAAGGTGGTGGGTTTTTTTTTCCCTCCACCCTTAGGATGTTCGTTTTAAATTCCCAAGGAATTGTTAAAACTCTGGTGACATCTAATGGATACTGTGTGAAACTCCAAGATGCTTCTGTTCTTCCCCTTAGTTTGATGTTATTGTGCCTTTGTTTCCTTTCCTTAGTAAGACTTCGTTAAACTCTTCACAGGTGTTTTTTTGGTAAAAAGAATTTTCAAGCTTAATGAGACAATCATAAATGTTTTCAGGTGTTAAGATAAATTAAGAGTAGGACTAACTATGAAGTATATATAAGGCATATCTTGTTTGTTTTTTAATTTCACATGTAACATTGTAGTGCATGTGTGAGTTAGTAACACTATCCTCAAGTGAGACACTTTATAATGGTTCAGGGAATGCTTTTGTGTCTTGTTACAATGTTTTTCTATGAAGGCAGCAGCATGTTGGTGGTCTTCTGTTAACATCTGCTTAATTTATGTTATCTGCCCATAACTGTGTAATCATTAGATATTCGCTGTCAACATCGAACCATTTGTTGCTCATATTTAAACACTGTTTGAGTTTAAAAGTGGAATATAAAAATATGTGAATTTTGGTTTTACTTGAACTGAACTACCAGTCTCTTTAAGTAGGCGCATCTGCATTTACTTCAGCCAAAAACCTCAGTGTTGTATGCACTATGAGTCTTGATTTGGGGCGAAGGGGTGGGGGTGGGGGACCAAAATAAACTTTAATTTTGTCTTAGTTCACAGTTAATGATTGTGAGATGTCATGTGGGGGGTTATTATTTTTTAATTATTATTACGCAATGGCAGTTACAACAGCTTTAATTTAAAAGAAGTGGTCAAGCCTAGTCAGTTTTTCTCTTTAATCTTAGTATCAAATTGAGCAGTCAAAGCTTTTGTTGCAAACAGTTTTTGTTTCATTATATGATGGTACCAGAATGATTAAGTGATGGGGTGGGGGAGAATGCAGGGGAAACATTAAAATGTATGTCTTTAAAAGCAAACATTTTAAACTATTTATAATTTTGACAAGCTTAGTTTTATTTTTGTAGGGAAATTTTTATTCCCCTTAAAGTTATTACTGAAATGGTTAAAAAAAAAAGTGATGGTTCCATTATTAAAGTTGAAGTTGGCAATGCTTAGTTGTGATGTGTGATTATTTTTTATTATTATTATTATCACAGAATAGAATCATAGAATAGTTAGGGTTGGAAAGGACCTTAACATCATAAAGTTCTAACCCCCCTGCCATGGGCAGGGACACCTCACACTAAACCATATCACCTAAGGCTTTGTCCAATCTGGCCTTGAGCACTGCCAGGGATGGAGCATTCACAACCTCCCTGGGCAACCCATTCCAGTGCCTCACCACCCTAACAGGAAAGAATTTCCTCCTTATATCCAATCTAAACTTCCCCTGTTTAAGTTTTAACCCATTACCCCTTGTCCTATCACTACAGTCCCTAATGAAGAGTCCCTCCCCAGCATCCCTATACGCCCCCTTCAGATGTAGTGGGGCATGGACTAGGAGACCTTCGAAGGTCCCTTCCGACCAATCCTGTGATTCTATGAGACAAAACCCCAGTCAAACAAAAAAGGTACTTTGAAATTTACACACATAACTTTGAAACTGAACCTCTCCTTCCGCACATTTACCTCATGCTCGGCCCCGCCGGAGGAGGAGCCGCGCGTACCTCACGTTTCCCGCCCGGGCGGCGCTGCCTCTTCCCTGAGGAGGACGGCGGGTGTCCGCCTCCCACAGGGGGCTGCCGCCGCTCCGCCATGTAAGCGCCGTGCTCGGTGTGAGGGCGGCGGTGTGTCCTCCCGGAGCAGGGCGGACAGCGGTGGGGCATGCGGGGAGACCTGGGGCCGACATGTTTTGCTTCTCGAAGCCGGCGGGCAGGACCCGAGCGGGGCTTCCCTCATGTCCCCTCACGGAGCCTGCTCCGCCGCAGGGGGAACGCAGCCGCGGCTCGCAGTGGGCGCAGTCCGGCCGATGCTGAATGGGAAAGCCGCGGTGGATGTTTTCGTCCTGTTAGGAAACTTGCAGAAACACGAGGGAAATACAGGGAATACGAGTGCTGGGCTGGGGGCGGTACCCGCGTCCTCCTTCATTTCTCAACTTTTTATTTTTAAAGGATTTTTAGTGGTTTTCTCCAGAAATGCGTATGTTTAATTTTCTGGTCATTATTTTGTGGTTCTTAAAACCGGTTTAATCCTAATTGAATAATTAGAAAGGAGCTATTTTGTTTCTATCTCTCTGTTGCTCTTCCCTGAGCACCGCAGCCCTGCAGCAGAGGGGATGATCATGGATTGACCAGTTCCTTGAGAGCTGATTCATGTGAGACCTCATAGCTTCATGTGTGCAACGACCACATTATGTCTATGTATGCACTAGGTAAACCTGTTAGTAGCAAACGTTCCAATATCAAATACCAGCCAGGGTAAAAAAAGGTTGGTAAGAGGTCTTAAAAGTACTAGAATCGACAAAGTAACTGAGCTTGTGCCTCTGCCTTCAGCAGTTATGTAGTATTAAAAACACAACGTGGCTTTCGGCTGGTTTAGGAGCGGGATCACCCCTCCGGAGACCAGAGGAGCTGCAGCGCGGAGGCAGAACAGGAGAAGAGCAGCGCTCCCTGCGGCGCAGCCGGTCACTCCTCTCCATGGCAGGGATCACCGGGTTGTTGCAGTCTGGCTTGGCTTCTTCAGTCTTGAGGTTCAGCATTGAACTAAATTGTTTAACTTCTGAAAAAGAAGTAATTAAATAAAATTGAATCTTCTTACTGCCCTCCTCCTGTATGCTCGTAACAACTGTGTTCTTTCCCTTGCAGGTTCCAAGCATGGGGGTTTCTAGCTGCAGTCCTTGCAGCTTTTGCTAGCATTTACTTTCTACCATCTCCCATTGATCCAGAACCATTCATGTAGGTTGCCCTGCTTAATTTTAAAGTTCAGTGCTTGTGTTTGTTGGGAAATACCTATGCTTTCAAAACTTCTCCCATGCTTTTCATCCTACAGGGATGTATAAAGCATGGCTTTTAAGTTCATGTGCAGGAGAAACTGTTTCATAAGCCTGGAAAATTGAAGCAATTTTTTAAAACAAGTGGATTTCCAGCAAAACAACACTGACTAATGCAATATTCATATATACATGTAGGAGATGATTTGTAGAGCTCAAACTAGTCTAGAATGATGGCACTTTTATGTTTGTGTTGATTTCAAGAAAAATAAAATCTAAAATGTCTGTTTTCTTTTTAGCCTGAGCCTGCAGGCTCCACAGAATTGTTAATTTAGTTTGAAGTAACAATATTAACAGATACTACTAGTTTTAACAAATTCTTTTTTCAAAAGGAAACACCTTGTTACTAGTATCTCTGTTATAAAGTCCTATTACCTTTCCTTAAAATGATTTTATAGTCCACTGTTGTCTTGTTTCTTACACTGTATTTATAATTCACTTGTTGCAGTTTTGAAAAGCCACCTCCTGCCTTAGTTGGATCATTGCAAGTGAATAAAAAGCTTCAGAGTGGACAAAGAATCTTCACAGGACAACTGAAAGCTCCTGAGTCTTTTGCTGCTGATAATGAAGGCAAGTAGGTAACTTCCAAATGGGTAAAGTTATACACCTGCTACATGTTACGCATCTGATGCATCTGCTCGGTCAAGTTATTAGAAGAATCGAGAAGTTAAATCCAAGACTTAAGAATTAAATCCAAAGAAAGAAAAATAGGAATAATTGCTAGAAGTAAGATAATTGTATGTTCTTCCATATATTTGCATTTGTAAACATTTCCCTGGAAATAGTCCATAACATCTGCTTGTCTACTGCTCTCAGGGACACAGCGAGTGTCCCACGGCTATACTATAAAACACAAACCTACAAATTGGTGACATATAGAAATCTTATTACAATGTAATTTTAAAAAGGTATCAAATGGCATATTCATTAAAAGTAACATGCAAAAACAATTAAAGTTTTTTATGGGAATCTCTCACGGTATTCAAGGCCAGGTTGGACAGAGCCTTGGGTGGCATGGTTTAGTGGGAGGTGTCCCTGCCCATGGCAGGGGGTTGGAACTAGATGATCTTAAGGTCCTTTCCAGCCCTAAATATTCTATAGTCTATGATTCTGGAAGTGTGTCTAAGCTTGGGCTTTTGACATAGAAATAGTGATAAGCTTGCCTTGGTTGTTGGTTTTCATGCGTATGGGGTTTTGTGTGTTTGTTTTCTGTTTCAGGTCTCAAAAAGTAGTGTTAATTTGTTGCTGGAGCTCAGCCACTGTGTTCAGCAGGCTCTTATTTCAAAAGCTGTCACTGGACACATAGAGCCGTAGAGGACAGGCAAATGGAGTTGTTTTAAAAATGTACATACTTCCCAAAAAAACACGTTTTTAGAGCACTTGGAATATAAAAGAACTTTTCACTGTAATATAAAACCTTTTCATTACCTATCCATGTAATTCATCTGTGTTGTCTGGCAGCTGTGAGGGAGCAGAATGGCAGGCACAGCCACCTTGCCAGATGGTGGTTAGCAGAAGGCTGAAATAGTGTCGAGAAGCACCTTTTCTTCTTCCAGCAATTTTCTTACACAGAGTGTGACCAAAGTAGGGACTGTGGTGAACGTTCAAGCCAAACAGAGGAGAGACACTGTGACTTTCTGTTTAGGACACAGGTTTAATGCTGTGAACTCAGGATTTACTGGTTCTGAAGGAATTATTTTCCTCTTGACGTGTAAGTGGGTAAAACAGATTCCTGCAGTAGCCAGCAGGGAGGAGTAGGCAACTCCCAGTCCAGAACAGTTCCAGCCAGACAGTTCAGACACCCTCCGAATAGTCCAGGACATGTTTACCTGAAGGTACCATCTGTTGTATGCTATAGAGGTGAGAGGTAATCACCTAGAATGTTCTTGCTTGCCATTATGCAAACTGAAATCAGGCATGTTTCAACTGTAGCAGCATGGGCCTGGGAGGGACCCAGCTCAGCACCCTGCACTGAGGCACCCATTCCTAGCAAATGTCTTCTCAAAGCTGTTTCCTTCTTGCTTTCCTCAAAGGTGCTATTTTAAATTTTCTTCATAGCTTGTGTTTTGCTCTCCACCTTTTTCACTACGATTTTCATAAAGGGTAGTGTTCACAACTGGAGTTTTGCAGAGTATATTTTACATATGAAGACTAATCCTGCAAATGCTCTGTGTTGCTAAATCTAACCTCTTTCATGATGCTGTATAAAATACTGCCTTTGTTCTCTTTTTCTTGAGTGTGTTAATTCTACTGTGGAGGTTCCCTGAATTTAAGGATGTTATAGGAGACTGGATTCAGTCGGTTGAAATCATACAATATGAGCAAGGCTGTAGTAAGTGTTGTGGTGATGTTGCTTGATTTAGGTAAATGTTGTTTATTGTATGAGTAAGACAGGATATTGCTGATAATTAGAGTAGTTCTGATTTGCCTTCACTTTACTACAGATACCCATGAGAGAAGTCTAGTGCAAAACCCACTCGCACTAACTGCATATATCTAAATATAGCATCACAGACTAGTGGATAGCATGATAGAAAATAGCACTACAAGTCTAAGATTTCTCCCTTTAAATACAGAATCTGGTATGCAAGCAGAAATTTCAGCTGTCTCCAACGTGCTTCAGGAGGCGTTAGAATGCCCAGTATATTTTATGACAGCAAAGTTCAGCCCCTGCTTTTTTCCCAGGCAAAGTGGCTCTGAAGTTCTCCCTTTGAATAAACAGGTGCTTTCTGTATGCCAGTAATCCTAGACAATTTTTTTAATCTAGATCTGACAGCTGATACTTTGAGAATCTCTCCTATTTGCTCAGAACATTTTTCCGTAGATGCCTGTGAGCAGATGCTAGACATTTTGATATCTGTTTATCTGCCCTGGTGTAAGTGCTCCTGAGACAGAAGCTGTGGGGTTTTAGTAATATTGGCACAGAAAGGCGGAGTAACTTTTATGGACTGTCTTAACACTTGTCACCAGGTGACTGCACATTTTTAAATGGAAAATAAGGTTAGGGTGAAATGTGGGTCACGGGTAAGGAAAATAATATTTATTTTAGTTCAATCTATGTAAATAAGAGACAAATCAGAAGAATGTTTCCAGACAGTGAACAGACTTCATGCTAAAAGTGTATTTATTGAACAGTGAGTCTATGACTGCTCATGTGCATTGCGCTATTGCAGAGCCTGGACTACTCAACTGGTAGGAGGATGCTACTTTTTCAGAGGTGGGGCTTAGGCACTGCTGGTGTTTTTCCTCTGATACTCTGCACACAAGTTTTTGGGGTTACAATACAATGTCAAAAGATTAGAAGACTTCCCTTGAGGTTTCTTTGCCTTGTTAATTTGACACTTGAAAAGCAGAGGAGAAAGCCACTGCTAAGCAGGTATCCAATAAAAAAACATGTTTAGTCCTTTAATGCAAACTTACACATTTTTAATGTTATTCCAGTGATTCAAAACCAAAGCAAAACATTGCAATTCTAAAAAAAACCCAAACAACCAGTCTTGTGGGTTTTTTCCTTGGGTTTTAGTGTCCTAAGAGAAGGATGAGAAGGGTTGCTTTCTTGTTTTGGATCAGCTATCAGAATGTTTTCCTTTCACCTACAACATTTTAGCTAGCTGGTAATGCTGCAGAACCCTCAGGACAGAAAGGTAGATCATGTGAGCTTTGCTAATGCTTTCACTGATTTTCACTGATGGGATGAGAATATCCCCCATGAATCTTTAGTCCCATCCTTGATGCCTTTGTTGCTAAACCAGGGAGTTTTAAGATACCTTTTAATGTATTTATTCAAAATAGACACATGAAGAAGTCATATTTTTATAATCTTTAATTTGCTGTTTCTGCTTTATAACAATATATTTAAAATAAGGTCTATGGTTTTGTTGCTTTGTGTGTGCACAGAATATATTCAAGAATGGGAAAATGGATGACCCAGGGAACTACAGACCAGTCAGTCTCACCTCTCTACCTGGCAAAATCTTGGAGCAGATTCTCCTGGAAGGCATGCTAAGGCACATGAAAAACAAGGTGCTTGGTGACAGCCAGCATGGCTTCACTAAGGGGAAATCCTGCCTGACCAATTTGGTGGCCTTCTATGAGGGGGCTACGGAACTGATGGACAGGGGTAGAGCAGTTGATGTCATCTACCTGGACTTGTGCAAAGTGTTCAACACTGTCCCACACAACATCCTTGTCTCTAAACTGGAGAGACATCAATTTGATGAATGGACCACTCGGTGGATAAAGAACTGGCTGGATGGCCGCACACAAAGAGTTGTGGTCAATGGCTCAATGTCCGGCTGGAGACCAGTAACGAGTGGTGTCCCTCAGGGATCGGTGTTGGGACCGGTCTTGTTCAACATCTTCGCTGCTGACATGGACAGTGGGATTGAGTGCTCCCTCAGCAAGGTTGCTGATGACACCAAGCTGTGTGGTTCGATTGATACGCTGGAGGGAAGGAATGCCATCCAGAGGGACCTTGACACGCTTGTGGGGTGGGCTGATGCCAACCTCATGAAGTTTAACCATGCCAAGTGCAAGGTCCTACACCTGGGTCGGAGCAATCCCAGGCACAGCTACAGGCTGGGCAGAGAAGAGATTCAGAGCAGCCCTGCGGAGAAGGACTTGGGGGTGCTGGTCGATGAGAAAATGAACATGAGCCAGCTTCAGTGTGCGCTTGCAGCCCAGAAAGCCAACCGTATCCTGGGCTGCATCAAAAGGAGTGTGACCAGCAGGTCGAAGGAGGTGATCCTGCCCCTTTATCCTGCTCTCGTGAGACCCCACCTGGAGTATTGTGTACAGTTCTGGTGTCCTCAACATAAAAAGGACATGGAACTGTTGGAACAAGTCCAGAGGAGGCCGCGAGGATGATCAGGGGACTGGAGCACCTCCCGTATGAAGATAGGCTGAGAAAGTTGGGGCTGTTCTGCCTGGAGAAGGCTGCTTGGAGACCTCATAGCTGCCTTCCAGTATCTGAAGGGGGCCTATAGGGGTGCTGGACAGGGACTCTTCATTAGGGACTGTAGTGATAGGACAAGGGGTAATGGGTTAAAACTGAAACAGGGGAAGTTTAGATTGGATATAAGGAGGAAGTTCTTTACTGTAAGGATGGTGAGGCACTGGAATGGGTTGCCCAGGGAGGTTGTGAATACTCCATCCCTGGCAGTGTTCAGGCCAGGCTGGACAGAGCCTTAGTGTAAGGTGTCCCGGCCCATGGCAGGGGGGTTGGAACTGGATGATGTTAAGGTCCTTTCCAACCCTAACTATTCTATGATTCACTACAGATTAAGAGCAAGAAGAAAGGGCTCAGAATAATGAGAAATGTCCTTCATTTATGGTACATTTGTCTTGGTCCCTTTTAAAACAGTCTTCTAATGTACTCATTTTAAGGTAATATCTACACTGGTACTGTGGATGGGAAACTCTGGACGATCAGTGGTGCTTAGCTGCATTTCATTACTCAAATGGGGCAGGACTTGTCTGAATGTGGTGAGTAATGGTGGTGATGCGAAAATGACAAACTTGTTTGAATAAATTTCACTGAATGAGAAAGTGATATAGTAGCTCCTGTTAACATTTTCTGATTCTTTTATGCAAATTTGTGAGAAGCCTACTCTGATCATGTAGTTTTCCCTTATGCAGGCAGGATTAATGCATAGCTAGATGCTCCTCTACCCCTTGAAACTGGATGGCCATTTAAATAAAGAACAACGAATTATAGAAGTCCTTCTATACAAAGCTTTTTGAGTGTGATCTAAAGGCAAAATTTATCCAATTATTTTCTTGCCTTAAGGTCAGAATGTATTTTAGAAACAGTTCAAATCTTATAAAGGCATCAGAGACTCAGAATA